GGATTTGCTCATGGTCAAGTCTCATATTTTGTTTGAATAAAAGTGTCTTTATATTGGCTTTGAAAATTAAGTTTGTCTTAAAATGTTAGGTTGCACTTGTTATACTTCTGTCTTTTATAAACATTACCTATGGCATACTTTACCTTCCAAAGCTTGACACAAAAATATCTCCCATCTTACAAGTTTTTCTACAATATGACCATGGCAGAGTTGTGGCAAAAATGAAGCTGCACGACTTCCAATGCAAATTCAGAAAGGATGATGCAGCTTCTATCTTGTTCAGTGACCGTCATTTTTGAGCTCTGAGTCACAGCTAAAGAAGCGTAAGTATCCTGAGGCCACCTGAGAAAATACGGGCCATAAAGAGAGACCACAGGCACTGGCCACAGTCTCAGGTGGGGTTACAGTTAGCAGCCAGAATCATCCAACTCACACACGAGTGAAGACACCTCTAAATGACACCAGTCCCCAGCTGTGGAGTAGCCCTGGCTGTCTCATCCCAGCTAATGTCCAGACATCTTGGAGCTGAAACAAGCCATTTGCTCTGTGCTCAGTTCAAACTCCCAGCCCACAGGCTGTGAGCACAATAAAGCGTTCTTTTAAAACATTGTTTTTTGATAACTGGTTATGCAATCATAGTAACTAGAACACTAATGGATAGTCGTTTGATCTATTTTGTTTAAAAACTTTTTAGTCTCTTCTAGGAAGATATCCCAAGAAACTAGAAACACCAATCAGAAAGGATAAATGCACCCCTATGTTCATAGCAGCAGAATTTACCATAGCTAAGATTTGGAAACAGCCTAAGTGCACATCAGCAGATGAGTATATTAAAAAACAGTGGTACATCTATACAATGGATACTATGCTGCGGTAAAAAAGAAGAAATTCTTACCATTTGCAGCAGCATGGATGGAACTGGACAGCATTATGCTAAGTGAAATAAGCCAGGCAGAGAAAGAGAAATATCACATGATCTCTCTCATTTGTAGAATATAATAAACAACATAAATTGATGAACAAAAACAGATTCAGAGACAGAGAAGCATTGATCAGACTGCCAAATCTCAGAGGGAAGGTAGGAGAAGGTGGGAGTAAGGGGGAGAGATCAACCAAAGGACTTGTATGCATGCATATAGGCCTAACCAATGGACACAGACACCAGGGCAGTGAGGGCATGAGTGGGGGGTGGGGGATGGTGGGGCAATGTAATACCTTAATCAATAAAGAAAAATTTTTTTTCAAGTAAAAGTTTCCTCTAAATTTGCTCTAACCTCCTTCAAAATAAAAATTATACAATAATACTGTAATCACTACAATTATGACTACAATGGGCCAGGCTTGATTCTAAGCACTTTACATGTAACAGCACATAACTCCTCTATCAAGTAGCTACTATTATTGTCCCCGTTTTAAACATAAGAAAATTCAACAAAGCAACTGACATATCAATCTAAATAATTATTGAACTGTTAAAAAAGCATTTATTTGATTGTACATTAAAGAATTCCATGAAGAGTGGAACCCTGAATTGGGTTTTTACTACAACAGGCTGGGTTTCTTCATGGGCAGGGAACTGGCTATGGCATAGTGTCTTGTTTAATACTAATCCAAATGCTGTGGCTGAATACATTGCTGGTGATGAAAATTTCTGAAATGATCTTTCCAGTTATTCAGCAGTAAAGTTATTCTAGGTCTCCAGATATGACTAAAATCACTTTGATGATACTTAACCATCATGAAGCCTTACCCTTGATAAGATATACAGGGGACAAGGCAAAAGCTAATTACATATGTTCATGTAAGGAAAGATTTTGCTGTGATTAGTGGAGATCTATACTTAACTAAGAATATTGTTTGTTAGACAATCATTTCATTTACCGTTATTTTACATAGAAACATAACTCCAACATAACCTTACATTATAAAATCAAAGTTACAAAATTCATAAATAAAAATACAACAAATAATTATGATTTCTGAAAAGTAATCCAAGTTTGGACAAAGCTTAAACATTGTAAAATGAAAGAGCTAACTTTTATTTAGAAAGGAAAATTTGTCTTAAGTTCACTGCACCGGACCCCCTGCTTCATCAACCAATTACCTTTTTGACTCTTACCCACAATCCAAAAAATAACAGAAGGCTTTAGGGGGGGAGAAAGGGGAAGAGAAGGTAGAGAATTGTATAGCAGCTGGTCCTGATTCTTACTTTATGACACTTAAGATTACCTTGATTTCCTGTGGAAGTGTGAGCCACCGCACTCCAGGGAGATTGTCTAAAAGAACTGCACTGGAGGCCTCGTACTGCTGGGCACTGGGACTGGCCCTGCCGTGCAGCTTGGCAGGCTGGAGGGCTCTTTGAAAGAACAGTTCAAAAAAATGATCCAACCGAGGAGCATTCTCAACCTGGCAAAAGGCACTGAAGAACCAAGAGCTCTAAGTTAGAACAACGAGTGGAAATAAACAGTGGTCGTCTTTTGTGTGCTGCTAGGAGGACTGGATCTTTCCCAACCAGATAAGCTCTCTTCCTTGCTCCTGTCTCTTAGTAAGAATTACTGCTATAATGTTACTGATGGAATGTGTTAAGAAATTTACCTTGTCAGTGTTTTTTACCCTAAAACCTACGCTCAAATGCACTGAGTAGTGGTACTATGGAAGAACCACATTCTACTACAAATGGTATATCTACAGCAGAATGGGCTCAGGTGCCCTTTTTGTAAAAAATGTGAGTTGTTTTTACCTCTCACTATCAACCATTTACAACTCTCAATATCTCTCAGGCAATATGGAAAAATAAAGAGATTTTGAGCTTTGTAATATAGCTTCGAGTCTTATCACAACAGTTACTAGGTATATATCACAGGAAAATAATCTAACCTTTCTCTGAACTTTGTTTCCATCTCTATAAAAATAGGGACTGTACAATCTAATTCGCATTCAAACTATCTAGTATATAATTAGTATAAGCACGTATAAGGCTCATTACTTAATAAGCACATAAATTAACCTAAGTTATTTCCTCCCCTCTTTAATGAAAGCATAATTATTGAAAAATTCAAAAGAGGAAGAGAGACTTGGTTTTACCCGTCTTTACACTAATAAAAGAGAAAAATGGTAATTGGCGTACGAGCTACCCTTTTCATTGGCTAATCAGGGCTATATGCAAATTAACTGCCAACTCAGATGGCAGTTAACTGACAACAAAATGGCGGTTAATTTGCATATGTAGGCACAATGCAGGGAGGCAAAAGGGAAAGCAGGAAGAACCCCCCTGCCACTGACAATGCCTCCCAGCCATGATCAGAGAATCAGGCGCCTTTGCTGCCCTGGCCAGTGATAGCAGGAAGTACGGGTGGAGCCAGCGATGGGAGCTGGGCACGGTCGAAGCTGGCAGTCCTGGGAGCTAGGGGTCCCTTGCCTGGGCCTAAAGCAGAGCCCACAATCACGGGGCTGCTGCAGCTGTGGGACCCCACTGCCCGGGCCAGATGCCTCGGCCAGAGGCGATAGGCCTGGGCAGGGGCAGAGCGGGAGATCGCGGGGAGCTGGGAGTCCCCTGACCAGGCCTAATGCCTTGGCCAGAGGCATCAGGCCTGGGTGGGGGGCGCG